CTGTCTGTCTGTCAAATAAATAAATAAAAAATCTTAAAAAAAAGAAAGAAAGAAAGAAAACAACTTAGATCAATGACAAATGGAATGTCTGCAGCAAACTGAAAAGCAACATCATATAAAATCCTCAATTTAGGGGGGTGGGGTTATGGACATTGGGGAGGGTATGTGCTATGGTGAATGCCGTGAAGTGTGTAAACCTGGCGATTCACGGACCTGTACCCTTGGGGATAAAAATACATTATATGTTTATTAAAATAAATAAATAAATAAATAGGGGAAAAAAACAAACAAACTCAATTTAGTTATGATAACATAGCCCCCAAAAGATGAAGATAATTCCACTGAATTACTAAAGTGGTAATGTAAACAATATTTGAAAGTCATACAAGTTCTCAAATGAAACCAGCAAGCATATGAATGATTGCTCTTTGTGACCTAGGGCCTTTTCTCCTTATCCTAAAAGGAACCTCTTATTTCTTACAGCTGGCCATCAAATTGACCTCCTGAGTACTGGCAGTTTATGAAGCCTTACATCCAGTTATGCTTAAAGTTTTACTTCCTCTCTCTCACACTCTGGAGCTATTTGTAGTTACAGTTTGGGCATGAAATAGTTACCTAATTTTCCAAACACAATCAGTCCACTGGTGTTCTGCATCAGATAATTCTTCCCCCTTCAGTGCAGGAAAGGCACTACATAACCATTTAACACATTGAAGAAGTCATTATCTCCCAGTACACTGAAGGCGTGAAGGCAACTTCCCAAAGTGTCATACAATCCCATGAATATTTATGCCCTAGAATAACCCTACAATAACCTCTATTTTATCTTCCAGTTAATAATGAAAATATTACTTCATTATTCTGATTCCATTTTACAAGTAAGCAAATTAGGGATTTACCTCTTGGTTGAAACAGGAAAAGAATATTAGAGAGCACTCTCAAAATATCTTAATATTTCAAAGCAGTCCAGTGAGACTGGACTTCTCAAGTGATTCGCATCATCTAGGATACGAAAATTCTCTATGTAAATCAATTCTTGGCCAACAACAAGGAAATAATTCAATTTTAAAATTGGCAATAACTGGATTTTTTAATTAAGTGAATGCAAAAGTTTTAAATTTATTTTCCCAGTTTGCATAGAAAAGAAAAAAAAACTGCAGTTCTGACTTAATATAGACTTAATTCAAATACTCAAGGTCATACAATTGCTAAAGTTTTTATTAAACTGAGTTTGAGAACAGTTTTTTTTTAAGTCTTAATATATCAGAATTACAGAAGTAGATGAAGTAGATTTGGCTTATTCAGCTTATAAATGCAGCATTAACATCCCCCACCCCCTCCATGAATACCAACTGCTCCTACTTTCTGCTTACCTTCTCTTATGCTTTCCATCACTACTACCCCGCTCCACTATCTCCCTTCAAAAACAGAATAGGTAAAAATTAAGATAACTGGACACCTAGATTCACAATTTAGGATCTTCAGTATAACATACAATACATGAAATAATGCACCTTCTCCTTACATAATAGTGGGGGTTGGTGAGGGAATATACTTTGGTCAAAACACAGTTTATGTTATTGGTTGTGAATGATTACTAGTTTTGAAACTTCTCCTCAAATATCTATAACAACTAGAATATATTTCTAAGTGAAAGCCTACCTCTACTTGAAGCAGGTAAAATTATCTGCACATTTATATACATTATCTATACACCTGAACCAGTTATTTCAATTTCTAATGTAGCAGAGAAACTGAATGTGCTTTTACTTTCTAATCTTCACATCAAATCAAATAAGCAGGTGCTAAACTCTGCTGTAATGTGATATTGTTACATAACAAGTTTCCTATTGGCATCTGTAAACACCTCCCAGTATCCTATACGATGTTACTAACTCTAATTTAGAGTTAAACCTGTAAATTATAATACTACAGATTAAGGATATACCTGAAAAACAATGTGGCAGGCAGAAGACACAACCTTTCCCAGTACAAAGTTTTTGTTTTGTTTTGTTTTTTTCTTCCATTTTTCCTTTCTGCTGAGTCCTTAACCAAAAGGTTCTCATCTTATACTTTTCAATGCATTTGATCCATACAAAGTAGGTACTGGAAGACAGCTGAGACCATCAATTTATTATTTTCCTGAATCTGATACAAAAATAACCAAGTGTGGAGAGGCATATAGTAAACTCAACCTCCAAAACAAAGTGTCAAACAAAGGCACACACAGTATGCTTTACAACATCCAGAAACCTTATTTTCGACATCAGTTGTTCTCATTTTTATGTTACCATTTCCATAAGTGCTTCACAGGCACCAGAAAAGAAGATACTTCTATATCAATATATTGTATTCAAAAAGAAAAGCAGTCTTCTACTTCCCCTTTTAAAATAAAATAATGTAAGCCCAATTCTAGAAAAGCACTGTCTGTCAAAAATTTGTTTTTCTGCATTAAAGAAAATAAAATTTGACCAAAAAATGTATACGAATCATTACTGATTGTATAATTACTATTCTTTAAAAGTTGGAAGACTGTATTTATTTTTTTCAGTCAAACTTAGTAACAAAAAGAACTGCGACCTCAACTAATAAATCGCATCTCTAAATATACATGATTGTGTTGTCCCTGTGTTACTTCCAGTGGTAACTGACACGCCCGGAATTTAACTGTACCAGACAGTTCTATCTGTCCCATCGCTGACCAAACACTGCTTCTCTGTTTCTATTCATTATGTATTATAAGAGGTCTAAACACAACCCAGCATGACGAGAAAAAAATTACAATTCTTATGACAGCAAAGTGATGCATTCAAGTTCTCTCTTGCTGTACATCCCTATCCGTGAGCATTAACAGACATTTTTGATAGAGCTAAAATGCGTTGGCTGCAAGCTCATTACTCTAAGAACCTTGGGCACCTTTCCTGCAGGTTTTCAGAAAACCCTCGTAAAAACCAGGCACTATTCAAACCCTGCAAACCAAACTTGCCAAGAACCTTGTGCAACGATCAATAACCTTGGCTCCACCACCATCCGCCTCAAATTCACGGTCCCTGAGACCAATGCAGCAAAACCCAGGCTAACGGCTAGCTAAAGCCCGAAAACTGCCGCGCTTCCCCTCCGCGCCCTCTCTGCCGCATGGAGAGAGGTTAAGGGGAGAAGAGGAGTGGAGCTAGGCTCACCAGCTCCGAAGATGCTCCGGTGACCTCTGGCTGCGTGGCGAGAGCTGGGCCGGGAAGGCGCTAGTGCAGCCGCGACGGGCCGTGTGGACTATGCCCCTGGTGCATTCCTCGCATTCCTGCACAATCTGTCGCCAGCCGAGGAGCCCTCGGCGCGCGTTCCCCCCCCCCCCCCGGGACACACACACCTGCCTACTGCTGCGCCCCGAGTGGCCACGGCCGCCGCGGCGCCTCCACTGCCCGCGCTCGCTGTTTGTCGCACTCAGCCAACACGCAGCCAAATCCCGGCCCCGCCGCTCAACCCCTTGCTTCCCGGGTAGGGGTAAAAGGGAGAGGGCTAGGCAGCCCGATCGGTGGGCAGGGACACCAGAACAGCCTGGGGGTGGCGGGGGGGGGGGTGCCGCAGCTCCGCTTCAACTCCTGGCAGGGTGAGGGGAAAGCGGCGGCGGAGGAGGGCAGCCGGGGAAGCTCCGGGCTCGGGAACTCGGAGGGGTGGAGCGTGAGGATACGCCGTGAAGAGCTAGGGGCGCGCTGGCCAGAGCGGGGTGGGCAGGACCTGCAGGAGCGCGGGACTCCGAGGGCAAACGCGAGACCACGCAGGGAGCCGGGGCGTGGGAGGAAAGAGAGGGGCCAGGATGCAGGATCTGGGGCTGGAGGGACCGACAGACCGCCCCGAGGGCTGGGGAAGGCGGGAACCCCACGGTGTTGGGGGCGCGGGGCGGCGTGCCAGGCGGACAAGAGCGGGGGAGCCTCGCGGCAGACGTCCGGGAGGGTTCGGCGTGGCGCTGAAGTTCGGGGCCGGGGGCTCTGGATCCGAAAATGCCAACGTGGGGAGGGTCCTGCGCGGCGTGCAAGGGAGACCCAGGAGAGCATATAGCCGGGAAAAGCAAATGGAGGGTGAAACTTGTGCGCCTGCCGGGGGGAGGGGAGCAGGCAGGCGAGTGCGGGCAGGAACACGAGGCGGGGCAGGAAAGCCGAGGCGGCCGCGAGGCGGTGGGGACGGAGTAACGGGAGGGAGGCGCCCGTCCCCCCGCGCGCCCCTCACGGGCAGGTCCGGGCTCGGGCACGAGGGGGCGAGGGCCGGGGGTCTCGGGGGCAGGAGTCCTCGTGCCCTCCCGCGAGCTCGCACACTTACTTTCCAGGTTAGGCTGCGCCCGTCGTCGCTCGGAGAATCAGGGACATCTGCGCCGAGGGGTCGCCGCTGCGGCACCCGAAAAAATTAAAAAAGTGCCGCGGCCAAGCGGCTGCCCGCCCCTCCCTCCCCCACCCGCCCCCTCCCCCGAAGCGGCTCTCCCACCACCCCCGACGGCGGCGGTGGCCAACTTGCCCCTCTACCCGGTGCCCATGGTGCCGCCTCGGCGGCAGGCGTCGACACGGACTCAGCCCCGGAGCCCCCTCTACTGCCCAGAGGCCGCCGCCGCCGCCCGCCCAGCCGCCAGCCCGCCTGCCCAGCCAGCCCCGGGCTCCCGGGAACGTCAGCACGCCGCCGTCTCCGGACCTGCTCCCCGCCAACCCCATTGGTCGGAAGGAGAAGGCTGGCCCTCCCCATTGGCCCGGCCCTCATATTGAACCGGCCAATGCGAACTGCGGTTTCAGGTCGCCATAGAGACCGATGCTGTTAAGAGCGAGAGGGCCTGAAGAAGGTGGGGAGTGTGGCTGAAGGTGTCTCAGGCTTTGGGAGCGGGAGGGGCTGTAGGGAAGAGGTACATGGGGATTCCTGCATGCTGGCTTTGAAACCTGAGGCAGCTTGTGCTTTGGCTTCCTGCCAACCCCAGCTGTGCATAGTAGGGTTTGTCCCTCATCTCACCTCCATGAGAATCCATGAGAGTCTAGGAGTGGGCATTTCGCTTTTCCTGCGACGGGGATCCCCTGAGACGTTGCCCTTTGACCTTTGACATGTGTGCAACTTCTGCTACTCCAGGTGAGTTTGCACGCCATCCCTTAATTCGCTGCTTCCTGACGTCGCTGATCCACCTGAATTCTACTTGTTTTTCGTTCAACCACTCCCATTTCCCTGGGGCGGATCTTGCCTCAAAATGCTGGGTCTAAAAACTTAACAGACTTACCTAAAGGAGACTCAAAGAATATTTCCTTTGAATGATATTTTGGTAAGGAAACAGGCTGACGTATATTATGTTGGTTGTCATTGAGTCATCACATAAGATGATGTGTTCTCTGTTCTCCAAGCAAACCTCTAATCTCGCCATTGAAGGATTTTTATTAAAGACCCACCTGTGTGTACATTATGCACTGTGAGCTTGGCAGGTGCACGCTCTTTCCCCTAAGAGTTTTCAGAGTGAGGAAAGACAGGTGACAAAGTCGATTCTTCATGCCTTCTGGTGATCTCACAGAATAAAGAGAATACTTTACAGTTGAGAGGTGTTGTTTTCTGGGTATTTTCCGTTTAACTCAAATTTGATAAAGAAATGAACTGAGACATGCAGTTAGTACACAGAAAAATCTTGAGCTTTCATAATAAGTTCTTTGCTTTCCTTTACTCACTTTGTGCTTGTTTGTCAATACCAACTTTTTTTGTAAATAACTTTGATATTTAGATACTGGCTATTCAAGTGGGTCTTCATGAAAATATTACGCTTTTAAGCATTTTATAGCTCTATCATGTAGCCATTGACATTCTTTTGGTGATTTTGCCATGTTAGTAAGACGTAAGAAAGCAATGTTTATGTTACCACCGTAGAGGGACCATATTTTGTGAAAAAGCTAACAGGATTTTGGAAATTACGAATATCTATTGAGAGAAACAGATGAATATGTGTGCAAGCTACATAGGTCTAACTACTGTATGGAATTTTAAGTTGAATAATATGCTTTGCTATTAGTTTTTATCTTACTATAATTGGAAAATTACATAAATAGATAAGACTTAATATGGTGCCTTGATTGGAGAAACATCTCTTACAATTTGTAGTAAAATTTAAACCTAGTTGGTAATCCTATGCAGGGTTGATCTGTGGAACAAAACAGTTGAACATATGAATGTTCCCCCTAAATATTTCTAAAATGGAGAAGGAATCAGCAGGGACGATAGTGTGTGCTCGTCTCATGCCTTGCCATCGTGGAAGTTTGCACATCATGCTTTTCATTTTTGGCTTTTGTATGCGTGTTTGTTTTTGGAGAATAGAAAAAATAAAATGCAAATTGTATGACTCATTTTTAATGTACTAAGAAGATACCAATGATTTGGTGGTTTTTTTTAAAGATTTTATTTATTTAATTGACAGAGATCACAAGTAGGCAGAGAGTCAGGCAGAGAGAGAGGAGGGGAAGCAGGCTCCCTGCTGAGCAGAGAGCCTGATGTGGGGCTCAATCCCAGGACCCTGGGATCATGACCTGAGCCGAAGGCAGAGGCTTTAACCCACTGAGCCGCCCAGGCGCCCCTGGTTTTAAAAAATATCTAATAATAATGAATAGAAGATGTGTCTAATGGAAAGAATTACACTGATGTTTCCCTTATTCTTGCCTTAGGCTAGCATAGAAAGAAGAAAACAAGAATTAATTTTTTTTACTCCAGTAATCTTTTCTTTTTGTATTTTTCTCAGATCACATGTGATGAGTATTTTGATATTGTATTCCATGTTTGCAGTGATTAAAATATCACTAAAATCTGTGAATAAAGTCCCTTAAGATGTTGCCATTTGACATTATTATTATTAGTTATTTTTTGTAATTCTTATTCGCAGTTGAAAATTTTCTTTTGAACTTGCTCCTGTACTTCCATGCTTTGCTGGATAAGGCTAAGAAATCACTTTGTTCCAGTGGAAGTCTATGCTGTCGAGTCTTGGCTGGGTCTTCACCAATTCTCTAAACTCCTTTCTTCATCAGGAGATTGATTAAACAGAACACTTAAGCAGGGACATTATCCAAGGCACTTCTCCGAACCTGTCCTATTTCTGCTTTCCTCAAGTCCCCACTGTACTTTGTCTTCTTCCAGTTCTATAAACTGAGGATCCATCATGAGGTTTCTCTCTTTAACTCTTCTAAACCCCGTCTCAATTTTTACACCTGATCACTTACTTTAGTCCTAACTGAGGAGTGCCACTCTTCTGTTCTAGACTCATTATCCATTTCTACTCCCAAACATGGACCATCTTGTCCCCCCAGGATTATCCTCTATTGATCATAATTTCTCCCTTAGATAATATGTTATTTTCTCCTCCAAAAATTTTTCTTCCCTACACCTTACAACATACCTGACCATTTGTGAAACCACTCTTCTTCAGCCTACCTCCCTCTCCATCTTTTGGCTTTTCTTCTCACCAAAAAAAAAAAAACAGTCTGAAGGGACTTTTTTTTTTTCTTTCTTTCTTTTTTTAAGATTTTATTTATTTATTTGACAGAGATCATAAGTAGGCAGAGAGGCAGGCAGAGAGAGAGAGAGGAGGAAGCAGGCTTCCCGCTGAGCGGAGAACCCAAAGCGGGGCTTGAATCCAGGACCCTGGGATCATGACCTAAGCTGAAAGCAGAGGCTTTAACCCACTGAGCCAACCAGGCGCCCCTGAAGGGAATTTCTTAAGGCTTTTATTTTTTAACCTTCAATATCCTGGCCCTTGAATACAACTGAAAAGATTCTGAAGGTTTTGCACTTTCTTCTCAAAATCCTAACTCATTTTGTCAGTAAGTTTCTCTCCTACAAAAGGGCCTTATACTTGCAAGTCGTAGTTCCTTAATTCCAGATTTCCAGTGAAGGGTAGAAACCATTGTCTCTCACTCAGAGGTTCCATATTAATGCAAATGAACAACTTGAGAAGAGGAAGCATTGAACCCGCTAGCCAAACCACCTAGGTAGGTGGGTCTTACTACTGGGAAGAAGTGTGGGAAGAGGGGTCTCTGCTGAGCCTGACTGAATATGGGACCGAGGGCAAAGTTCTAAAGACTGAAGAGGTTTTGGTGAGCACCACCTTAGAGAAAAAAAGTAAATTACAGAAATCAAAAGGATTTTTTTTTCAGTTACCATCTCAGGAAGAAGTCAGTCAGAACCTTTCATGATTATGAAAGCTTTGTAACTTGCCAATGTTTGTTATTTTCATATTAGCTCATCAGGATTAGTATTCCTGAAAAATAATAGCAGAGGCAGCAAGGGAAAGAGGGAGAGCAGAAACACTGGCTCCTTTCTCATTCTTGGAAGCCTATGGAGAAAGTGGAAGAAGTAAATACAAGAATTCCAAAAAACACACTTAATTGATAGTTGCTTTTTTTGTTTGTTTTAAAAGGAATGTTAAAACAGAGGCAGGTGGCAAATGAAGGAAAGAGAGCAGTGAAATAAACTGGTCCTGAGTATGGCTGCTAAAGCTTAATAATAATTCTGCTCAGGATTTCAGAATTGACTGTGTCCCACCTCCAGACTATTCTCTGACTATGCAAATCCTCCCCTGCCCTTAGAGGCCCAGCCCAACTGGTACCTCTAAAGCCTTTCTGAAAATTTCCCCCCACCTTACTCGCACCTCTAGAGAAGGTGATTTCTGCCTTAGTATTTTATTGTGTCACTCTCTACCCCATGGTATAGTTATTTATGTGTAAGCCTCCTATCCTAAAAGATAGGATACATGAAATAGTTATGACTGTATCCTCCATAGTGCCTTGGACTACTAAAGTATCTCCCACACCAAGAAAAGCCAACATTCATTAATCCTTTTTTTCAGTCCTTGGAAGAATTTGACTTCTAACAATGAAAACGTAGAATCAGTAATGTAGGGAGGTACTTACAAAAAGATGGGACTAGAGATTCAATGTAGAGAGGTGAGATAACATATTACAGAGCAGAGGGGAGGTTTCTGCTGTGCAGCCTCCCAAGGGAGAAAAGCTTTAAATCTTATCGCTAAGAGGAGCTATCTCTGCCCCTCTATGAGGGAGGGACTGTGTGAGAAGGACTGGCTGCATGTACTTTGGCGTGAAGTTACCACATTGAGAGCTAAAATTCTATGTATTGGGAAAAGCAGTTGAAACTCAGCCTTGTCAAGCAGATTAAATAAGAGTTACCTACATTTTTTTCCATCCAAAGTATCCAGGTTGCTCTGTTTTTTGGAACAGGGTAGAGATGTGAGAATGTAACAACTTTATAAAATCACGAAGGCATCAAACACCTGGTAAGTGTAATAGACATATTTCTAAGTACCTATATCCACAGCCACTGAAGTATGCAGCTCTGCAAGCTTCCTGACCTAGCATCTGGCCATGGTATCAGCCAGAGAGACCTGATTCAAATGTAATCAGTTCATTGCAGACCATTGGCCATAACCTATAACAATGCCAATCAGATTCATTTCCTGGAAATTTGGAATTGAGAGAACAAGTGAGCTAGAGAGAACTGCTGTATTGGCCCTGATGTTTTCAGGGCTCCTATTCTCCCCACAAAGCCAGACTACACTTCATTTTTTAGTATTCCATGAACTTTCTGTTTCTCATAGTCACCCCAATACTTTATTTTCCCGGTTTGCATTTAGTGAGTCTCTGTTTCTTACAATAAAAAGATTTCATTGCAATATTGTGCAAATATGTGACAACAAACCAGAACATGTATTATGACCGTCTTATTGTACCATGAAGAATAACAGTCTAAAACTGTGTAACAAACAAACTATAAAAAAATGACTTAGTTTTTTAGTTCCAAATATTGCCAGTCTCATTTAAAAGAATTCTATTTAGTGTGGTGTCTATTACTCCCCACTCCCCAACCTCAAAACCTTATATTCTTCAACTCAGTTCCCCTCCTGTGAAATTGGGAACAAGAGAAGAACTTTGAGAAGATTAGCAAAATGATTGGTTTTTTAAAGTAAAATGATTTGCCATGCTACTAATGTAGAAAGAAAAAATTAGAATTTATATTTATTTTGTACATGTATACTAATTTTTAGAAACAGGGCTAAAAAATAAAAATGAGATAGGAAAATTTGCCAGAGATAT